GCTCTGAGATACCTTCTCCAGCGGTGGGCTTATAAGGAAGACAGAGCACAGGTTGACCCTGAGAGAAATCCTGGTTCATTCTCTGCCTCAGTCTCCCTTCTCTCTACCTCTGCCCCACTTCCCTACACTGTGTTGGCCCTCAGTCTCACCTTCTGTTACTGTCCCAGACACAGCTGCCCTTAACCGGTAGATAAGTTTCCGGTGCTGACACCATCCCCACCCCCTCCAGGGCACAGCTGCGCAAAACGGCCCCAAGCGGCCTCTTGGGGCCCAGAAGGGCTGCAGTGTGCATTGGGGTGGAGTGGCTGCGTTGTCTCTCTTTTGTCTGGAACCGTGCAGGTCTAGATTCTCGCCACCTCCCCACCGTCCCTCTCCCGCCTGCTCAAACCCAACACCCATCTCGGAGCAGAGCAGGGTGATCAAAAAAGCAGAGAGGAACTACGCATCCTGGTTCCTATGTTCTTTCCACCTGGTGGCTCAAGGTGGATAAAAAACTGGCTAAAAATCGAAGTGGTGGCTCAGCGTTCCCACTGGAGAGGCAGGAGTATGGGGATGCCCTGAGGGACACTTATAGTCCCACTCATTGAGTTCAGGCCTAGAACCTCAACTTCTAAAGTCTTAGGGCTCTGAGGCTTTGCTTTCCCCATTTTTCAGATGCGTAACCTGAGGCTGAGGAGGGACTTGTCCAAGGTCACATAGGAAGTCTAAAGTAGAGGAAAAGTTATGAAGTGGGAACCTCTTTCTCAGAAGAGCCTTTCCAGAAACACTCTTGGGATAGCAGGCAGTTTGAGGGTGAAGTGAAGGGGTGTATGCTGCCAAATCAAAAACCCCAGTTAGGATAATGCCGGCACAAACCAGTTTTCTTCCCAATACCTGTGCAGCTTGGATAGAATCCTTGGAGTACTGCCGGAGAGGGATGGAACCGCAGATATTAACTGAACAGGAATAGCTTGGACTCCCACTTCACACAGAGGTGTGCTGGTTCAGGACAGGCTTTCGTTGGGCTGCCTAATTTGTTGGGCGACAGGTGCCCATAAGAGAGGGAGTTTCCCTTTGGGTGGGGGTTATTCACCATCTCCAAGGCAGTCATCTTCTAGGAACTTCTAATGCCAAGAGGCACCACCAGACCTGACATTCTGGCCACCTAGCCCAGCCTTACAGGCCACCAAACGACGGCCCTGAGAAGTTACACAACTAATCCAAGATTATACAGCGATTCCATGTTGGAGCTGGGCTTCAGCGCCACAGTCCTGTCTCCAAGGGCTCATGAGCCCACAAGTCTGAGTGAGACCAGCAATGAGAGATGGACTAGACTAGCAGGGAGTTGGTCTCAGCGGTGGCACTGAATGAGGTCGGGACTCGCACTGAATGAGGTTGGGACTCACTGTGAGCAACAGTCACGGGGTTACATTCTGCCAACCGCACAACTTTGAGCAGGGCCCAGTGCTAAGCACTGGAGGCAGGAGACTGGGAAAGGAAACCATCAGGGAAGAAACTCAATTTATGGAAGTCGAATTGCCTTTGAAAGTTCTGCTATTGAAAGAAAGACCATTGAGAATTTATGAGAGGCCAAAATACCTTCAGAGGAACGTCCACCTAGATTCTCAGCCAGCAACCTGCCCTTGCTCAGACACACTCCCTCCCTTCCTCCCCTTTCTCATGGCCGGTTAGCCCCTCCTGCCACGCTTCGGCATCTGGGGGTTGGGTCAGCTAAAGGGCTCTAGGGGCTTGAAATCCACTTCTCCAGCCTATCTCTCTGCCCTTGCTTGAGGCAAAGGGAGGCCTACAGAGCTCAGATTAGTTGCTCAGTTTGGGAGAGTCAAAGACGCACGCTGCCGCTGCCATCGCTGTCCTAACTCATTAGGTCCTCTCTCTCTAACCCTCATTTTATTTTATTTTTATTTTTTAGTAATCTCTATACCCAGCATGGGGCTCCGACTCATGACCGTGAGATCAAGACCCCAGAGATCAAGAATCACATGCTCTTCCAACTGAGGCAGCCAGCCAACCCCTTCCCCCACTCTAATCCTCATTTTAAAAGTATCAAAGAGAGAAAGCAACTGACCCAGGTTACATAGCTAGTGGAGGCAGAGCGGATTCCTGTGTGACTCCGACATCTGGATCAGGGTCTTCCTGTAGGAATCACTAAAGTATGTGAAAAATAGAATTTAACAAAAATTTTCAAGAACCACGTAAACTGCCTTTGTCAGGGTTTGTTATCACTACCAGTACACCCTGAAGGCCAGGGGTTCTGGGACTACCTTTGTCTCTCCCCAAGACTTTAGGCTACAGGTCCCTTCTCCTAAGGCTCAGCTTCCCTATGTATCTGATGGAAAGAAGAAGCCCTGAGATGAGGCCTCCCAAAGTTGTGAAAGATGAAGATCCATGGCTAGGGAGTATTATTATCATTCCACCACGTTCATCCCAGAGCTAGGGTCCTAGATGCCAATGCCCAGACAGTGCTCCGCCTCTTCTGGCCTGCTTCGCCTTGGACTCCTTAAGCTAGCTTGGCCAACAGTAGTTTTTCTCCAAGGGGGGGCCTTGGAGGATGGGGCTCTATCTCCTCTCCCAGCAAGAATGAAAAGTCTAAGGGCAGAGAAGTCACCTTTCAGTCCTACTCCTTGTAGCATTTCTTATAGCACCTACTCCGTACTTCTTGCTGTATGATGTCAGACAAGTCCCTGCCCCTCTCTGGACGTCAGGTTTTCCTTTTGCATACCACAATGAAGAGGCTAGACAGAGGGTCCTTAGGTGGCTCCCTGCTCAAGGCTGACCTCACCTGATCTTGGAATTAGAACTAAAAGGGCATATACACCTTCCCCATTGTACGGATGGGGAAACTGAAGTCGAGAGAAGGAATGGAATACAGTTGGAAGGAAGGAAAAGGAAGTCAAGTGGCCCATAAAAGGCCTTGAAGTTGAGATGGGAGAAGCCCACACAAATCCCTTAGAACCAGATGAGATGCCCCCAGCCTGGCCAGCCTCTCAGCTCTTTCCTCTCCCCGCTACGCCCCCCTCCCCCCCCCCCCCCCCCCCCCCCCCCCCCCCCCCGCTGGAGACCAGGCTGGTGCAGACAAGCGGAAGTGCAGTGTCACCTGAGATGTCCACCATAGCCGGGAAGCGGCCCTTACTCCAGCCCAAAGGAGAAGATGGGGTGTGGCTCTCTAGATTTTAAAACTCAGGCCAGACTAGGGACCCCCCAGCCCCACCCAGGGCTGCCTCACTGAGGAATGAAATGCTTTATTGATTAAACGATTATTCAGGCGATTGAACTAATCAAAGAGCCCATCGACCGCCCTGAATTACATTCTTGGTAGACTGCTTGTAGGGAGAGGCTGCCTTGCCAGCCACCTAGACCCTCCCCCGGAGCCTCACGTGCCTCTGACCCATTCCCAACATACACAGAACACCTAGTCCTCATTCGGACTTAGGGGACTTTCAGAGTCCTACCTTCCGCGGACCCCAGGGGGGAAGGAGGAAGGGGATGGAGCAGAGGAGTTTTCCAGATTCCCTTCCTTTCACCTTCACCCTTTCATTCCCCACCTCTTAGATTTCTGTTCTCACTTCTCCTGTTACAATGTTGGAAGCCTATGAATGCCCAGGGAGTTGCCTGGGGTTACAGTTTAAGTCCACCACTCTCTCTCTATGCTTTTTTGCCCTATTTAGCGCTGTAGTGGAGGAAGGGCCTCAAAGATCCAGGAAGAAAATGGAAATAGAATTCAGCAGTGTGTTTGGGTGGGGGGTTAGTACACTTAGCCTAATGAGTAAAAGAGGCTCCAGGCACCAGCATTAACCTGAGGGCAAACTGAGGGCTCCTGCTGCCTGCCACTTTCTCTGAGACATAAACTCACTCTGCTACCACTGCCTGGGCCTGTGGGTGGCACACCAAGCCCTGTGCCAGGAAGGCCCATGTTAATACAGGCACCAGAGTTGGAAGCCCAGGCTCGGCACACATGTCCACCCACTTGGGCTCTCCTCCACTGGAGCAGCACCCACAAGATAAAACCTGAGCACAAAGCGTGCGCACACACACACACACACACCATTGTCAAAGGCTTATCTAGGTGAAAGTGAAGGCAGGCTGGAGGTCCCTAGAAATGTCACAACTAGCCTATAGGTTGCCAGCTGTCACCTGCCAAGGTTGTGCCTGCCACAGTAGACACTTTCATACAAGTGGTAGACTCAACAGTGCCCACAGAGTGAAGCAGTGCACACCACACACCCAGGGATTGCACTGCCTGATATCACGCCTCCACTCCTGGTTCTCCCAACCTTATGTGACCAACGCCCGACAATCCACAGACTTAGCACAACAGACCCCCACTGCCCTAGATCCGTTCCTGTACCTCCAGGCAGACGCTCTTGGGTACATTGGCATGTACACAGGGAACAGCTGTTGACATCCAAAAATGGAGGATTCAGTGTAACCACCTCATTCTCACTGCCAAAAGCACTTGGGATATGACAGGTAAACACAGATCCTTGAAGGAGTAGATGTACCCTGAGACACTTCTCCAAATTACATACACTCCACTCATAGACACACATTTTGGATATGCAGAGTACAGCACTCAGAAATATCCACTCATAAACATGACTAACACCCATTAATATAAGGATACACATGCACACAGGCACATAAATTCTTGGGCACACAGACATTTTGAAAATACATATACAGGGACATACAAACTCAGGACACCCATGCACACTCTGAGCCCCTGTGCAAACACACAGACCCAAAGGAACTTTCAGACCCCCAGATGGATAGACCCACATAAACATTCAGAAACAGAGGAAAAACACAAACTCACAGATACTTGGACAGATGCAGAAGCGTGTGAACAAATCGGTGAAAAGACATACAAACGCGCCGCAGACAGACACGCAGTCAATCCCTGAGAAAACGCGGCGCCCTCCCTCCCCCAGGGCCGACGTGCGTGCGGACCGGCCGGCTGGGTCCCGGGGTTAGCGTGCCTGGAGCCCGGGTCGCAGTCCTACCTGTTCTGCCAGTCCGAGGAGTCGGGTAATTTTTCTCTAAATCCATTTTGATTTTCCAAAACTTGATGAAGTGGACAAGGGGGAAAGTTTCCACTTTTTTTGTGTGTGCTTCTTTTTCTTTCTTTTTTCCTTTTTTTCTCTTCCTTTTTTCCCTTTTCTTTTTTTTCTTTCTCTTTTTTTCTTTTCCTTTTTTTTTTTTTTTTTTTTTTTTTTTTTTTTTTTTTTTTTTTTTTTTTTTTTTGGTGCCAGGGGCCGCTCACAGGTCGGAATAATTCAAGCCTTCCGCTCCCCCGCCGAGCTGGGGTAGCTGATCACTGAGCTGAAACTAAACGTTTTAGGTGGAAAAAAAGCGTCCGAAGGCACCGTGAAATGATTAAGGAACTAAAGAGCTTCTCGCCATGTGAGATCATGTCCTGTTCTCGCCAACATCACAAGATGTCCCCAGACACGCCGCGCCCCCAGCGTGCCGCCCCGCACGGCCGGCCCCGAACAGGGAAAGGGTGTCCGCGCTGCGCCCCCGGGCCTGCTCAGCGGGCCAGACGGGGCGGGCCGGGCCCGGCCGGGCCGGAGCAGCGCGCGAGGCCGGGAGAGCAGCAGTGCCGCTGCCGCGCCGCCCTGGACTTTTATAGGGGGTTGGGGGGAGGGAAGGAAGGGTTCAAACGGAGCCGGGCGCTGGCCCGCGCGCCCACGAGAAGGTGCGGACCGAAGGCAAGCCGGGAAGCCCTGGCCTCGTGGCCGCACGTTCTACAAACCCCTGCGTCTCGGTGTCGCGGCCCTGTGCGGGGTGCGCGGGGCGGGTGACTCCTCTAGGTGTGAGCCCCGCCGCGTAGGCGGGTGCAGGCCGGGTTTTTGTTTTTTAAAAAATAACCACCTCGCCAGGCAGGTGTTTTTGAAGGGGGGTGCACAGGCAAGCAGCGTCTCCAGGCGTAGAGGGAGGCGGTCCAGTTTCCTCAGATTCACCCCTAGGGCGGCGCCAGCCCCCGGAGATCCTGCCCCCACCCCAATTTGCAGCTCTAATACCATTGCCGGGTCCCTGACTTTAGGGCAGTGCCAGAACCCTAAAGTCCCCAGGTCCCCACTCAGCCTCCTGGTCCCAGAGCTCCCTCCCACACCATGTCCCATTCTGGCCCGGAGTTTATAGAGGTTATAAGCTGGAGATAAAATCCAGGCCTCGGCTTTGGAGTGCCCGAGCTGAGCAGAACTATCTCGGGGGGGGTCCTGGAGACTGGCGGGAGTCCTGGACACCTTACCCCGGCCCATAAATGGAATCCCTCTGCCCTCAAGCCCGGAGGCGTGGCGGTGGGCCCGAGCCCCAGGACTTGATTCCAGAAGGGAAATCCGCCCGGGAGAGACCGGGCAGTGGTGTGGCACGTCCAGCCTGCTCTCTTCGGCCCAGGTTTAAAACTCCACTCCCCTTCCCCCCTCTCCAGTCCCGAGTCCAGCTGCAAGGCTTGGCCACTGGAAGTCTGTGGGGCCCCGCTGCGGGGTGGTCGCAGGGGCAAGGTTCTCCAGGGAGGGGGAGCGCTCTGCAAGAGGACTCTTGGCCCTCCGGACAATGGCAGTTTCGGAAAGTGAATCGCCCTCCGCAAGAGTGTTGTTTGTTTTTTGGAGGGGGTGGTCACGAGGCTGGGCCGCAACCTAGGGGGGAAGAGCCCAGAGCTCGAGAAAAGGGCGGGGGTGGGGGGGGGGAGGCTGGCGGGAACCGGACATCTCTTATCCACTGAGCCGATTTCGCCACAATCGGAAACGTGGCTGTGGATTCCCCGGCGGCCCCCCCACCAAGTAATCTGCGCAGTGCCCCTGCGCCGCCTCCTTCTTGCACGCTTCGAGTCCGGGTGCCTGCCCGGCGATTTGATTTTTGGCCTCCTCCGAGCGCTCGACTCTTCCTTCCGCTGTCCAGCCCTAGCGCCTGCTTCCCGCCCTCTCGCCTAGCCCGCGCGCGGTGGCAGAGCCGAGGAGGAGCGGCCTGTCTGCGCCCAGAGATCAAAAGCCCTCCCGGAATTGACATTTCACCCCAGGCTGGGGGCGGGAGTTGTTGGGGTTGTTTTCGATTTAGAGCGTTTGTTTTGTTTTTGTTTGCTTCCCTTGAATTTTCTTTTCCTGATCTCTGAGAGAGTCTCTTGTGTCGGGTGCTTTGCGTGTAGTTTTTTCGTGGATTTCATTTAAGAGGGTTTTGCTCTGTGCGTCTTGGTCTTTTGGGTAGCTTTTGTTTTCTGTCTGGTGGATTTTTATCTTACGTGTTTTGTACTTTGTCCTAGGAGGTCGTCTTTTTGTGTGTCGTTTGGAAGGCTGTTGCTTCTGCGTGGTGTTTTGATGCGTTTTGATTTTGTATTACTGTGTGTCCATATGTGTGTTTTGTTTTAGGTGAATGTTGTGTTTCTATGTGTTTTATTTTCTTCGATTTTGATTTTATTTTTTAGGAGCCGAGCGTTTGGATGGGGAGTTGGGGCTATGTTTTCGTGTGTTGGCTTTAGTTTTCGTATTTGTGAGATGCTTTGGCGAGTTTTTGCATGTGTGTTTTGGCTTTGTGGGCTTTTGGATTAGGGAGGAGACACCGACCAACTACTCTGTTCCAGTCTGCACCCAGGAAGGACAGAAGATTAGGCCAAGCATCAGAAATGATGGGTTCACCGTGCTCCGAAATACCTGACCCCGGCGGCGCCGCGTCCCACTCTGCGCGCTCCAGACCAACGCGAAACAAATGTGCGTTCCCGAGGGGGCGCCCGCCCCTAGTCGTAACTGTGCGGGTTGTGCGGGGCCAGTGCCAGGCTCAGAATTCGCAGAGCCCCCCCTCGCGGGGTACCCAGGCCCAGACGCCGTTCACTTGAGCACCCTGTCCGCTGTGGGTCGATCTCCCCTCGCGCCTGGCCAGCTTGCTTCAGACCTCCCTGCCTCCAGCAGCATTGGACCGAGGGGCGGATCCCCGCCGAGGAGCAGGTGGAAAAAACTCTTCAGAGCACACGGAATTGATGCTTCGGCTCTCGAGATACGTGGCAGGTGGCTAGGGACGCGTGGAGCCTAGGCGCAGATTCGCGTCGGAATCTCGGAAAAGTCCCCCATCTCACTTGCCCGCAGCCCTAGAATCCTAGAAACCCAACTCCGCTCAGCTTTCGGTTTGGAGAGCCTGTCCTGGTTTGCAACCACAGACACATAAATCCACACGCGAGCAGACGCATACACAGCTAGAGAGCGAGAGAGAGCGGGCCAGCGCCTTGGTAGCAGCGGCCTGCATGGCGGTACCGGCGCTGGCATCACTTCAAGGGGACGCCAAACTGTAGTGACCGGAAATGTTGCAAGGACAGAATAAGGCATTCTATCTGTCCACATCGCCGGAATTTCTCCAACCTCCAAACACCTGGATTTGTTTAATGCTACACCAGGGAGAAAGGGAGAGGCCAATTTAGAGAGGCAGAGAGACATGCTGGCTAAACCGGCAGGGAAATGCGGGGAGAATCCATAGAGACAGAAATATGCTGAGAGAGAGACAAGACCGTGGGGAAGGGCAGCCTGGAGGCCCCGCAAAGGGGTTGGTGGTGTGGAGGCTCCTCGGGGGGCCCCCGCGCTCTGGTATTCTGTGAGAGCGAGAAAGCAGAAACCGAGAACAGAGAGTGACAGGAAAAGAAAAGAGTCGCAGAAGGGGTTGGCCTAGGCACGCTGCGAGCTTCCCTCCAGCTAAGACGCTGAAGTCTAGGGAGGGGGAGGCCGACGTCGGGAGGAGAGAAGCCTAGCTCAGGCTCTTCCACTCCGCCAGGAAACGCCCGACGACCCCAGGGCTTGTGGGCCGGACCTGGGGCCCGGTTCCGGCCCAGCGCCCCCAGAGATCCCCAACCCGGAATCCAGCAAAGGTTGGACCAGCGCGATCCGCCGCTGGGCCTCGCTCTGTGCGAGCCTAGGGAGAAGCCGCGGGGAACGACTCGGACCCTGGGGCTCTGAGCTGGGGCCTGCGCTGAGGGTGGGTGGGAGCCGACGTCCTAGCGAAAGGCCAAGAGGAGGCCCCGCCCTAATGCTGGGGGCCCGGATCTGGGAGCGCCTGAGGCCGCCGCTGGACTCGCAGGATTCCGGGTCCTTGCAGTGCGCACGTGGCACCGCACCTTCCGCAGGCGGTGCCCCTAATGCCCAGCCCCGCCCTGCTCCGTTTGCCGGCCCTGTTTGGTGTCGGGATTGAGGGTGGACGCCGAGTCGCGGCGAGTAGGTCCCGTGCGGTATAAGCTTGGGACTTGCCTCGGGGCGGCGCTCGGGTGGACAGGGGCGCCTCTCCACTGGCAACTCCCCGGGCGCAGAGCGCAAAAAGCGCGCAACGCAGGCCAGTCGCCGCCGCAAGTTTTCTAGCGGTGCCCGTGGAAGACAGGGGCTGAGGAACGGTTTGGGTCAAAGCACCCATTTCTGCTGCCAGCGGGGTCCTCTGCGCATAAAGGGCTTTGAGGTCTGGCTCCTGGTTCTCTAGGGCACCATATACTAGCGGCTCGCCGCCCAGAAATACTCGGGTAGCGCTGGAAAACACGGTGGGGCTGTGTTCGGGGAACCTGGCGCTCATGGTGGGTTATTGCTATTGTTGTTTTACTTTACTGCTTTTCTTGTTTTAATTAAAAGTGGTATTGAGAGAAGCCTCAGAGAGGGCAGACCTGGGTCGTTTGGATAGGTTCATTTCAACTTAATCCAGTAATTCAATTCAGTTCCACTATTGGTTTCTCGTGCACAGGTACACATGGCCGACGTCAAGTGTATGCCGTATACATATGCACAGAGACGAGGTTTGAAGGCAACTCTTGGAGAATTTTGAGATAACACTTACCCTGTTGGAGTTACACTCGCAATGTGTACATATGGAAAACAGGCAGGCAGTCGTATTTAAAATTTGCCAACATTTTCCAGCAATCCACCATTTACCTAAGAATTCAAAATGAGGCATTGAAAAGATTTACTGGCCCTCTGTTTAACCCTGAGAACAAGTGTAAATCAGTTTATTTCTTCTTATATTTCCCCTTAAATTTAACAGTACTACAATTTGTAAATAATAAAATCTTATTTTGCTTAAGAAAGTTTATACGTAGGACGTTTTATTTCCATCAATACGCGATGAACTGCTAGCTTTCCCTCCCCTTTTTCTTCTGCTATTTCTGCGTGTAATGTGAGCTTTA